TTTAGGACAATTATTTAGTATTCTTTGTTGGGCAATTCCTGGATTCCCATTTATTTGGGGCCAGTTGCTGGAGGTTTACTGTATTCTTTAGGTTGTGTCACCTTTTTTTCCCCCTGATTCTTTGTAATTCCCATAGCTTTGCATAGGTGCCTACACATCTGAAGAAGCAGTCACCTCTTCCAGACTTTATGGACTGATTTGGGTAAGGGAAGACTTTCACTTGCATGTGAGGACACACTGGAGTGTGCTGTGATCCCAGGTTTAGTGGGGCAGGGTGTGAAATTCAGGGGTATGTGGTGGCACTGGGTCTAGGGAGGTTTGGTGTGTTTTTTGTCTCAAGCCATTGGAGTCCGTAGCTTTGACAACTGTTTGGTCCTTGGCAAGTACTGTTGGTGGTCTGCGGTGGCTGCAAGGGCTGTTGGAATCCTCAGTGAGGTGCCTTCATGTCCACGGCTAGACACCAGGGCAGGCAGCAGCTGTGGCTGAAGCCAGTGGTGTACACATACTCAGCTGTGGGGACCAGCTGCAGGTGTCCATAAAGTGTCAGGGGTCGGTTGCAGATACAAACATAGTGGTGGGGTCCAGACCAGGCAACAAGGGTCAGGGCCAAGTAGAGGCTCACTGGCAGCTGTGCTGCCCTGGCCATGTGTGCTCTCCCACGACTGCGTGCCCTCTCCCGGGGCATGTGCGTTGCAGTGGAGGCCAGTGATGTGTGTCAGGTCAGCAGCGTGCAAGAGTACAGCTGGAGGGGCTAGCCTCAGGCATGCTCTTGGTGGTGGGGGTCAGCCAAGGGGGTCTAGGCTGGTGTTTGGCATTCTGGTAGCCTGGGGTGGCTGCCGGTTCTGTTCTAGGGCAGGGAAAAGGAACAGGGAGGGACTCAGTTGACTGGCATCCATGGATCCAAGTACCTGTGGGGTAAAAACTGGTGAAATCTGCAGCAGGCCCACAGCAGAAATGCTAGCCATTTGTCCCTTCTTCTATGCTGAAAGCTTCTGGGTTTATCCATAAAGCAAGTCACTGTGAACTGTGATCACTCCCTTTGTGTTGCTGGTGTTGCTTTTCTTCCTTGCTCCTAGCTGTCCCTTTATAGCCCATTCTATACCCCATCTTTGTGGGGGTGAAACTGAAGTGGGACCTTCACGTGGTGCCTCAAAAGCACCTTCTGCCTTTCTTAGTGAGGGAAACTCTTTCTAGTTGTGAAATTCCCTCTTGGCATCGCGTAATGCTGGCTTGGGGATGGGATGATATAGACAAAATGACACTGTCTTCCTTCACTTTTTGTGCAGTTATTCTCAGGATTTCTGTTCCATTATGTTACTGAAGTTACTTGAGTGGATTCCAAAACTCTCCCAGTGCTGGTTTTGTCCATGGATAGCTGTCTAATTATTGATCTTTGTTGGGGGGGAAGGAGCCTGGGGTCTCCTACATCATCACCATTTTGGTGATGTCACTTCCCTGTTTCTTTGTGTGCAGTGGGATTTTTGTTGAAAATTGGGCATTTTAAAAAACAGCTACTTCTTCCAGTCTTTGCTGACTAGATCCATCTTATATCATATCCCCTAATCAGGCCAGAGAAACTTATGGTCTTAAATACCAGTATTTAAAAAATTAGTGAGCTAAGCGACACTACTGTCTCCAGTATGTAAAACAATGCCTGCCATACAACAGACACAACAATTTGTTGAGTGAATTGTCAAATGAATCGAACTTAAGAAATTAGAGAAAAATAAAGACTAAACCCAAAGAAAATCACAATAAAAATGATACATTGAATATAAAGACATAATAGTCAGCAAAGTCAACAGCTGGTCCTTTGAAAAGTCTAATTTCATGGACAAACCTATGTCAAATATAGCAGTAAAATCATACTTACTGTATGGTGCTTTTTCCAGTTGGGCTAAATGAAGATGAGAGCCAGCATTTGCCTTTGAGAGTTTATTTAAAAGCCCAAATTCAAATGCTCTCATGCCCAGAAAACTCTCCTTTACCATTTTCCTATGGATAGGGAATAACAGGGTGCTAATATCATGATAGCATTGCTCAAGCCGCTTTCTGGTTGGATCTGTCTCCAGTTGGAGGGACCAAGTGGGAATCAGTCATGAGAATCACACAGCAGTTGTTCAGAAGTTTGCTCAAGGCAGCATTTGTATATGGGGATTGATAGCTTCCCAGATCTACTTCACTGGCCTTTTACATTGGCCTCGGTACGGCCTGTAAAAATATCTTTGGTGTCACCTCACCTCGGAAGGCAGCTGTAGTTCTGTATTGGACTGACGCATTTCAGTGGTGGGCTGGTGGTTGGTGCCCAGCAGAGAGCTGGCAGGTGGCTGGAGAAATAGCAACATCTATAGTAACAATATTTTCGCTCAGTTCACAGTCAGGGCTTCTACCCACTCAGCCATTGTACGAAGCCACGATCCCTAGCTCTACCCATCTTGATTTAATAACTTGCACAGTCAACTGTCATTTCCACTTTCACCTTATTTTACTTTCCTGGATATGCTTTCTAAATCTCTTGGCTGGAAGAATCTGATCTCAGCGAAGGTTAACATATTCATTCACTTATTTATTCATTCAATCAACAACTGTTTATTGAACATCTACTCTCTGCCAGGTCTGCTACAGATACAGTAATGAATAAATACACTGTCTTCTTCATTTGAGGGAAATATCTTTAATGAGATTGCTTCCTGCATATGATGTACAGGTTCATTGTGCACCATGTTTTTACAGTGGGCCTCTAAACAGCATCAGGATTTGTAGCTCTGACTACTTTCTGCATGCTAGTTCATGCAATATTATTAAAGGTTATATTTCCTTCCTTGAGACTCCAGAATTTCTAAGTAAGACAGCCTGGAATCCAACATATATACACAAATATGTGCTCAATATGGCAGGATACACAAAAGAGACTGCAGCAGTCCCATCAAAGTGTGCAGCCCAGGACAGACAGCTGGGAAATAAAGATGAGGGCTTTGTCTGAGCAGAAGCACAGATGCAGCCCTTGTGCTGGATCCTGAGCTTCAGTGAAGGTCATCAACATCGACCAGAAGATGGATTTCACATGCACTGAGAATGGAAAGTTTGCATTGGTCTTTCTCCCCTCTCACACTTGGAGTCGTGCTGTCCAAGTTAAATGTGAATGCCGTGGTTGGCTCTTGTTCAAATTTTTACTGTTACAAGGCAGTGATTCTTATACTTTTTGGCCACCAAACCCCTTCATACTCTTAAAACAGTATTGAGAACACTAAAAAACTTTTGTTTGTGTGAATCATATCTAGTAATATTTAGTGTATTAGAAACTAAAACTGAGAAATTTAAAAATTTTTCTTAATTTTAAAATAGCAATGAACCCACTGCATGTTTTAATGAAAAATAACTGTATTTTTCAAAATAATGTGAGAAGAGTACATTGTTTTATATTTTTAATGTCTGACTTAATAGAAAGCAGCTGGATGCTCATAACTGCTTCTGTGTTCAATCTGTGGCCATATCGAATGTTGTGTAGCTTCTGGAAACCCCACTGCACACCGAAAGAATGAGAGTGAGAAGGCAGATAATGTCTTCATATTATTATGAAAGTAGTTTTGCCTTTGTAGACTTCTTGAAAAGGTCTCAAACTATCCTAAGGGAACCTAGACCACACTTTGAGAATCACTGTTCTAGAATCTCAAGGCTGATAAGGTGCTTTTAACATATGTCAACATTTCTGACTTTTCTACCTAAGTTCCAATGAAGAGAGAAAAGGAAAGGCATAACCCAGGGGTTGAGATGAAGCAGCTCAACATAAGTAAGCGATTCCTTTGAATTTTGTTATTTTACATTAAAAAATTCATTTACATTTTATATTTACTTCCAAAATATATCTGTTTGTTTTAAGATGCCTTGTATTCATTCATCCTGTGGTTTCTTATATTGCCTGGCACACTGAATTTAGTGTGAGACATTAAGAACTTCAAAGTGACACTGCCTGGTAGGAACAAATAGCCCCATTTAATGGATCAGGAAGCTAGAGGCTACAGAGGTTAAATAACTTAGTGAAAATAAAGATCAACCAAATGAAAGCAAGCAAAATCTGTTTATTCAGAGCCTGCTGTAGTAAAGGAGTCAGCCACTGTCCACTGCAATTTGGCTGAGACTCAATGGTAGAAATAGGAGTGAGGAAGCTTTATAGCGGAAAGATGGGAAGATTCCAGGTATGATCTAGTTGGACACTACTGGCATGGAGAAGCTGGAGGCAGGCTAACCAGAAGCGAGACATCCTATGTGATTGGTTAAGGTGCATGTTTGGCTTTCCCTGGTTGACCCTAAGTTGGACATAGGGGTAAAAATTAGAGAAGCTGTCCATTATTAATCAAGTCCCTGCCATGCGGGGCTGATTGTTTTAGGTGTTATTGTTTGGCTTCCTGGACTGTCACTAGAGATAAAACAGTCTAACTTCTTACAAGTCTGGCTGGCTTTCTGGTCTGATTATTGCAGATAAGGCGTTGGTTTCCTGGGCTGGTTGCTGCAGGTTGTGGGTCAGCGTTCTATTTCTGTATATGGTCTGGCCATTTTCCACTCTATGTTCAGTCTCCGAGTAACAAGGGGTAACAAGAGAGGACATGGCCTAAATGTCTTTGTGGAAGTTATCCTCTGAAGAGAAGAGCAGGAAAGAATTTGCACCTTCCCCACTTATGGCCTCTTGGCCACAGTATGTCAGAAAACTAGAGTACTTAAAAAGGAAATGGAATAAGCTAAATTTATAATTGCTCTTTTAGATATTTTAAAGCATTTCATTAAGTTTGCAAGTGAAAACAGACATTCAAAATTCCCTTAAAAGTGATAAAATTGGCTAAGTTTATGAAAAGAGTAGGATTTGGGTTGAACTTAAAAGTGTAAGGAAAGAAGTAGCTTTTTCTGATCTATAACTTCAATACACTAGATATAATTATTAAAACCAAAGTAAATCTCTGAAGTCTCTTTTGGGCAAAAAGATGACCCTGATGGCCTCAACTCACACTTTCTGGGACCTCTGGAGTGGGCTGGGCTGGGTGAGAGCAGGACTTCGTTTTTCCACACAGCCTCCGTGTATAGCTTCGGATATTTCAACATTTTGTGTTTCTTTTATAATCATATACTTCCTTTAGTATCATTTTTTAAAAGCTGCTTAAAATTTACCTGCAATAAAATAAATGTTGACAGTGAGATAATATGTAAATAAACACCTGGCACAATGCGTGGTAGCTATCTGACTCCCACCAATTACAGTTGACCCTTGAACAGTATAGGACTTAGGGGTGCCCAGCCCCTGCACAGTTGAAAATCCCTATAAAACTTTCGATTCACCAAAAAAATTAACTACTACTACCCTGCTATTGATCAGAAACCTTACCAAAAGCATAAAAACAATTAACACATTTTTTTAAAATGAAGTATGATTGGCACAATGTTATATTTGTTTCGGGTGCACTACATAGTGATTTGAGAAGCCTATACATTAAGCTATGCTCACCACAAGTAGCTACCATCTGTCAGCATACAACACTACCACAATATCATTGACTATATCTCCTGTGCTATGCCCTCTTTTCCTGTGACTTATTCATTCTGTAACTGGAAGCTTGTATCTCCTGCTCCCCTTACCCATTTTACCCATCCCCCACCCGTCTCCCTCTGGCAACCACCAGTTCTCGATTTTTGTGGGTCTGTTTCTGGTTTTTTGTGGGTTTTTTTGCTTTGTTTTTTATATTCCACATATACATGAAATCATATAGTATTTATCTTTCTCTGTCTGACTTATTTCACTTAACATAATACCCTCTAGGTCCATCCATGTTGCTGAAAATGCAAGATTTCATTCCTTTTTATGGCTAATATTCTATTGTATATACACCACATCTTCTTCATCCATTCATCTAATGATGGGTGCTAAGATTGCTTCCAAATATTGGCTATTAAAAATAATGCTGCAATAATAAACATAGGGGTATGTATATCTTTTTGAATTAGTGTTTTTATATACCTAGCAATGGAATTATTGGATCATATGGTATTTCTATTTTTCATTTTTTAAGGAACCTCCATACTGTTTTCTACAGTGCTTACACCAATTTACATTCCTACCAACAGTGTTCCCTTTGTCTACATCTTCACCAACACTTATTTCCTGTCTTTTTTAAAAATTTATTTTATTTTATTTTTTTAAAGATTTTATTTATTTGACAGAGAGAGACACAGTGAGAGAGGGAATACAAGCAGGGGGAATGGGAGAGGGAGAAGCAGGCTTCCCGCTGAGCAGAGAGCCCAATGTGGGGCTCGATCCCAGGACCCTGGGATCATGACCTGAGCCGAAGGCAGACGCTTAATGACTGAGCCACCCAGGTGCCCCTCCTGTCTTTTTTTTTTTTTTTAAGATTTATTTATTTGAGAGAGAGCACACATGCATTCATGGGGGAGGGGCAGAGGGAAAGAATCTTCAAGCAGACTCTCTGCTGAGCGTGGAGCACCATGTGGGGCTCAGTCCCACAACCCGTGAGATCATGACCTGAGCTGAAACTAAGAGTTGGATGCTCAACTGACTAAGCCACCCAGGTGCCCCTATTTCTTGTGTTTTTTATTCTAGCCACTCTGACAGGTAGAAGTTGCTATCTTATTGTGGTGTTGATTTGCATTTCCTTGATAATGAACATCTTTTCATGTGTCTGTTGGCCACCTGTATGTTTTCTTTCGAAAAATGTCTGTTCAGATCCTCTGCCCATTTCTTAGTGGGATTATTTGTTTTTTGGTGTTCAGTTATATACATTCTTTATATACTTTGGGTATTAGCGCCTTATCGGATATATTATTTGCAAATATCTTCTCTCATTTAGTAGGTTGCCATGTCATTTTGTTGATAGTTTCCTTAGCTATGCAAGAGCTTTTTATTTTGGTGAAGTCCCAATAGTTTAATTTTGCTTTTGTTTCCCTTGCCTTAAGAGACGTATCTAGAAAAATGTTGCTAAGGCTTATGTCCAAGATTACGGTGTATGTTTTCTTTTAGGAGTTTTATGGCTCCAGGTCTGTCTCACATTTAGGTTTTTAACCCATTTTGATTTTATTTTTGTGTATAGAATAAGAAATTGGTCCAGTTTCATTCTTTTGCATGTAGCTGTCCAGTTTTCTGAGCACCATTTGTTGAAGAGACTCTCTTCCCCATTGCACATTCTTGCCTCCTTTGTTGTAGATTAATTAACCATATAATCATAGGTTTATTTCTGAGCTCTCTATAGTGTACCATTAATCTAGTGTCTATTTTCATGCCAATACCATAACTTTTTTTTAACGATTTTATTTATTCATTTGACAGAGACACAGCGAGAGAGGGAACACAAGCAGGGGGCGTGGAAGAAGGAGAAGCAGGCTTCCCGCAGAGCAGGGAGCCCAATGCGGGGCTCGATCCCAGAACCCTGGGATCATGACCTGAGCTGAAGGCAGACACTTAATGACTGAGTATCCAGGGGCCCCCATAATGTTTTTATTACTATAACTTGGTAGTATGTCTTGAAATCTGGGATTGTAATACCTTCAGGTTTCGTTCTTTTTTCTCAAGATTGCTGTAGCTATTCAGAGTCTTTGTGGTTCCATACATATATTAGTATTATTTGTTGTAGTTCTGTGAAAAATGATATTGTTTTGATAGGAATTATATTAAATCTGTAGATTATTTTCATTAGTGTGGACATCTTAACGATATTAATTCTTCCAATACATGAGCATGGAATATCTTTCTGTTTGTTTGTGACATCTTCAATTTCTTCCATCATTGTTTTTTTAATTTTTTAATTTTAATTCTAGTATACTTAACATCTAGGGTTATATTGATTTCAGGTATATAATATAGTGATTTAAGAATTCTACATGTTACTCAGTGCTCATCATAAATGTCCTCTTAATCCCCATTACCTATTTCAACCATTCCTCCACCCACCTCCCCTCTGATAGCCATCAGTTTGTTCTCTATAGGCAAGAGTCTGTTTCTTGGTTTCTCTTTGCTTGTCCTTTGCTCATTGTTTTGTTTCTTAAATTCTACATATGAGTGAAACCATATGGTATCTGTCTTTCTCTGACTGACTTATTTCTCTTAACATTATACTCTCTAGCTCCATCCATGTTGTTGCAAGTGACAAGATTTCATTCCTTTTTATGGCTGAATACCATTTCATGGCTATATGTATACCACATCTTCTTTATCTGTTGATGAACACTTGGACTGCTTTTCATATTTTGGCTATTGTATATAATGCAATAAACCTAGGGAGGCATGTATTGCTTTGAATTACTGTTTTTGTACTTTTGGGGTAAATACCCAGTAGTGGGATTCCTGGATCATAGGGTAGTTCTATTTTTAACTTTTTGAGGAAACTCCATACTGTTTTCCACAATGGCTGCACCAATTTGTATTCCCACCAATGGTGCATGAGGTCTCACATTTGGTCTTTTTTTCCTCCACCTTCTTGCCAACACGTTTCTTATGTTGTTGATTTTAGCCATTTTGACAGGTGTGAGATCTCTCATAGTTTTGATTTGTATTTCCCTAATGATGAGTGATGTTGAGCATCTTTTCATGTGTCTGTTGGCCATCTATATATCTTCTTTGGAAAAATGTCTATTCATGTCTTCTGACCATTTTTTAATTAGGTTATTCATTTTTTGGGTGTTGAGTTTTAGAAGTTCTTTATATGCTTTGGATACTCTTTATCAGATGTGTCATTTGCAAATATCTTCTCCCATTCCATAGGTTGCCTTTTAGTTTCATTGATTCCTTCACTGTGCAGAAGCATTTTATTTTGATGTAATCCCAATAGTTTATTTTTGCTTTTGTTTCCATTGCCTCAGGAGACTTATCAGGAAAAAGTTGCTATGGACAATACCAGAGAAATTATTGCCTGCTTTCTTCAAGGACTTTTATAGTTTCAGGTCTCACATTTAGGTCTTTAATCCATTTTGAGTTTATTTTTATGTATGGTAAAATAAAGTGGTCCAGTTTCATTCTTTTGCATGTAGGTGTCCAGTTTTCCCAAAACCATTTGTTGAAGAGACTTTTTCCCATTAGATATTTATTCTTCCTTTGTTGAAGATTAGTTGACCATATAATTGTGGGTTTGTTTCTGGGTTTTGTGTTCTGTTCCATTGACCTATGTGTCTGTTTTTGTGCCAGTACCACACCATTTTGATTGCTACAACTTTGTAATATAACTTAAAGTTTGGAATTGTGATACCTCTAGTTTTGTTTTTTCTTAAAGATTTTTTATTTATTCATTCGAGACACAGAGATACGGGGGGAGAGAGAGAGAGAGAGAGAGAGAGAGAGAGAGAATGAGCAGGGGGAGAAGCAGGCTCCCCGCTGAGCAGGGAGCTCGATGCGGGGCTTGATCCCAGGACTCTGGGATCATGACCTGAGCCGAAGGCAGATGCTTAACCATCTGAGCCACTGAGGCGCCCCTAGTTTTGTTTTCTTTTTCAAGATTGCTTTGGCTATTTAAGCTCTTCTGTGGTTCCATACAAATTCCAGGATTGTTTATCTTTCATCAGTGTTTTGTAGTTTTTGGAGTATAGGCCTTTCACCTCCTTAAGTTTATTCTGGTGTATTTTATTCTTTTTGGTGCAATTGTAAATGGGATAGTTTTCTTAATTTCTCTTTCTGCTACTTTGTTATTAGTATATAGAAATGCAACAAATTTCTGTATATTGATTTTGTATCCTGCAACTTTACTGAATTCATTGGTTTACTGCTAATTGTTTTTTGGTGGATTCTTGAGGGTTTTCTATGTATATATGCCACCTGCAAATTGTGACAGTTCTACTTCTCCCTTACCAATTTAGATGCCTTTTATTTCCCTTTCTTGTCTGATTGCTGTGGTGTGGACTTCCAGTACTATTTTGAATAAAAGCAGTGAGAGTGGACATCCTTGTTTTGTTCCTAATCTTGGAGCAAAAACTGTTTTTCACCATTGAGTATGATGTTAGCTGTGGGTTTTTCATAGACAGCCTTAATTATGTTGAGGTATGTTTCCTCTAAACCCACTTTGTTGAGTTTTTATCATGAATGGATGTTAAACTTTGTCAAATGCTTTTTCTGTATTGAGATGATTATATGATTTTTATCCTTTATTTTGTTGATGTGGTGTATCACGTTGAT